GGTGGCCGGCCTGCCCGGGTGTCCCGCGGCCGCCCCGCGGGTGCTGAAGGGCGGTGAGGGCCACCCGCCCTCCTCGAACCCCCGCGGCTCTTTTCATCATCAGGTGCGCATGATTCCGCGCTGCTCCAGGTATCCCGCACAAGGAGCCCTTTCTTTGGGCTCTCTATGCGTGCAACAAGATCTGCCCAACACCTCCGGCGGCCCTTGTTCCCTGGCACCCTGTACATCCCTATGCACTCGCCTTTCTGTTCCCACCTTTCGCACCTACAAAAATATGCCGGAACCTGCCACCGCAGATGCAGTTGCTTGACAAGCCTGGAGCCTGTACCCGAGCAGCACACGTGAAGGCTTCAACCATCATCATTTTTTGTTTGTTTACAAGTGTTGTAATTGACGTGTCATGGTACATTTATGCTCTTCCCATACTTTTCTGCCAGAAGATAGGAGCTTTATGTGACTTACTCTGCTTTCTACTCTGTGATTAATTGTCAAGTAAGTTCAAGTTATAGCTGTGTCTCTTGCTTTGATTTCAGTGAATATTATAATTCCCCCGCCCTATTGTCCGGTTGCGTGGCTTCTTCACTCATGTTTGGTCCTAGATTATAGACCACGCTACGTTAACCAGGCTCTGGTAAATGGAACATATAAAATTAAATAATTGTTTAGTTTTAGTATCAGGAACAAAACATAAATACCTGAAAAAAGTCTGCTCATGTATCTTTTCTAGGTAGAATCCTAGCAGGCTTTAGCAGACATCCTAAGTCATCCTCACTTTACCACTTTAGTAATGCTGTTAAAAAGATGAGAGCAGGTGGGAAGACTTGTTTTGGCGGCATTCCCTACATATACTGCCTTAAAGAGATTGTGAAACTGGAACCATAAATATTACGGTGTGACTGGTAGACACTTCAGAAGGAAAAAAAACCACAACCCAGTGTATCATTTTCTTTTCAAATACCTTAGGATATTACCCAAAAAAAAAAATGTGAAGTCTGTATCCTAGTGCCTGACTTAATAAGCAATTCACCTCTCCTTGGTGATGACAGTAGAAACCTGTAATCAGGATCCCAAATAGCACAGTTAGGACTCATCCTGGTACGTACCTCTTGGCTACTTAACCTACAGGACTGCATTATCTCTTATATTTCAAAATCTCCCACCTGCTTTTGATGGGCTGGATGTGATTTGCCTGGTATTTTTTGTGTTGGTATTCCAGTTGGGTGATTTTACAACCTGACCACATTTCACAGCCTTGCTACTGTGTTTCTGGCTCTGTTTTGGTCTCTTCTAATTGAGTTGCCTTAAAAGTGCAGAGGCAAACCAAATCTTTTTCCGACAGCTGCTTTTCTCTTCCTTGGGGCCTAAATCGAAAGCTACCATGTTCAGGAAGTGGAATTCAGCAGTCTCAAACTTGTCTGAAAACTGAGCCTGAGGCTGGCAGCTCTTTTAGTGTCTTATATTCAAAAAGTCATCTGTAGATTCTTTAATCTGTTTTTTTTTTTTTTCTGATTATTTTTTATTTTGTTTCTTTTGCTGGTGATTTAACCTACAACTGCCATACAATAAACACCATGTTATCCACTTTACTGCATATTATTTAAGAAACGGTATATAATGCCCAATATCTGCTTTGCATGCAAAATTTGTTAATTTTCATCATGTTTTCCAGTCTTTAATGCCAAACATGAAGTATCTGGTATAAATAATCTTAGCCCAGCACACCACATTGGGTTCTGGATTCTACAAAATGGTTAATGATAATACAATCTTTTTGTTTACTCTCTATGTGTGCTAAGGAGATATGATGTAGCTTTCACTTTCTGCTGATATATTCACTAGGATATAAATATATAAATGAGTAACCACAGCTGTGATAAGGATGTCAGTGAGATACTGCGAACTTCTGTGTATGCAGGACACAATGGTGAAGATAGCCTGCAGATCCCTCTATCACCTATGTAAATATTATTCTGAACTTAAAAAAGTCCCCCACAGAATTTCAGAATTGTTGAGGTTGGAATGGATCTCTGGAAATGGTGTAGTCAACCACCTCTGCTCAGTGTAGGGTCAAGTAGAGCAGGTTGGTTAGGGCGGTGTCCAGTTGGGTTTCAAATATCACCAAGGATGGAGAGTCCATAACCTGTTTGGACCAGTGTTCAAAAGCTTTGTCTTATGTTTAAATGGATTTTTCTGTGTTTCAGTTTGTGCCCACTCCCTCTCATCTGTCCACTGAAAAGAGCCTGACTTCCTCCTTGAAGCCAGAAAAGAATCCCGCTTCATCTTTGCTTATTATGGCAAAATATTAAAACTCAGTATTTCATTCATGTTTCGTATTACTTTCCTGAATAACCCTTTCTGAGGCTTGTTCTTGTACTGAGAGTTGTTTCTCAGGCAGGCATGTTTAAGCTATTGTGTTTCACTGTAGACTACTTAGAAGTGCAATGTAGAGGTCATTGTTGCTTCAAAAGATTACCTGTAAAAATATTTGCAGCTTTTAGGAAAAATGGGATTTGAGTATGGCGTGATTAGATTTAGATCCTGTGCAAGTCCTCAGTATTATTTAGATATGTGTTATCTTTTGGTTTTGTTAGCTAAACTCTGAAATAAATTAATTTTCCTAAATTTAGACTTTGATAAATATTCAGTTTAGCCTGTCATAATGTTGGCTCTACAGAAGTTTCATACTTCATGATTCACTGCTCTTCCCCCTTCCCCCCTTTTTTTTTGGAGGTACTTAAAAAAGCTTGATGATTTAATTACTGATTGTTTTCATGCTTGAAATAAATTATCAGCAGTCCAATCACTAAATGATCAGTCCCTTAATCCTGCTAGTGCTGGATGTTCTTTAAACTTAGGAAAATATGGAAGAAGCATTTTCTTCCCATGCTCTTGAGAACTGAATCATGGGTGTGTCTGAAGCAATGTTGGCAATTCATTTGGGTAGTAATAAAGAGCATTCTTGCTGCTTCTTCCTGAACAGTTACATTTTCCTCATCATCTTCATCTTCCTCAGATGAATCAAGACCAATCAAGCCAGTCAAAGGTGAAGGACGGAAAAATGTGATAATGATCAGTTTCATAGCTGAAGTATCCAAGATTTTTCTAAAGCAGCTATCCTTTTCCAAAAGTCAGCATCTCTTCCAGCTCATGGTCCTGTGTATTTTCCACATCATCTACGTTTGCGTGTTCATTTTCCATATCGTATATGCTGTCTCTGTGTATTTTTTAAACTGCACCAATTAATTCTTATGGGGAAAACTGGTTTGTTATCCGTTGGATTGCTAAGCTTCTCACTTTTCAGGAACACGTCTTCAGCAAACAGCAGGGTATGGCTGTGTTTCTTATTGTGTATGTTTGCAGGACTGTTTGTTTATGCTTCTATATGTTTGCAGGACTGAGAGAGAGAGGTAAA